GCCATTATTGTTCTGCAAAGGTAAAAGCAGTAAAACTGAAATGTCAAATACAATCTTAGTAGTTATGAACCAAGTATTATTTCTTATGCCAGGTTATAGAAACCTTTCATTTACATGACATACCACCCCATAAAGGACCCCTATTTAAAAAACTTACTCCCTATTGGAGATTACAGCTTGAGCTTGGTGAGCCATAGCTACTCTATCTCCAGTGGCGACCTGCAATATCATATCAAGGTTGACTCAAAACAAAGCAGTTCAAAAATAAGTAAATCTATCATCGTTGAATTTGAAGACAATACACTAATGACTTGTTCGATAAGATGGACCGTAGAGTATTGGATAGTACTAAGAGTGTTTTTAAACGTGATAGGTTTATTGGATGGCATCGGATGGCAACAGGAGTGTTGCTGTCGGAAAAAGGCAGCTTTTAAGGTGCTTTCAAGCATGCACAAACATGTACAGGTTAAAATCTTGTCCTTCATTGCAGCACTTTGTACCAAACATGTACTAAGAAAATAATGCTTTACAAATGGTGCTACTGATTTAGATTGCTATCCAATGTTCCAAACACGGTATACCGAAACTCAGGTATTTTGAATATGGCTTCAAATCTTCTAAAGAATATTAACATCTATCAGAGGATAGTTGGCAATAACCTTTAATACTGATTGTAATATTTCATGTTCATGTAGGTAGAGTAACAAATTTCATTGTTTTCTGCCGGTTCTTCTAATGGGCCGAACAAAACTAAAACAAGTATAGGAGCCATCCAGACTGGTGATTCCGGAAAGGAAGTCAGCTAAGTGGTAATGTGAAGGAGAATATGGTAGATAATTCTTAAGTGGTTATTAAAATGTAAAATGTTACAATTTACATCACATCAGATTTTTTGTGCATGCATCTTTTTTTTAGTTTGATTAAAAAAGGAACAAAGAAATGCATCAGTAGATACCTTTGTAGAAACAAACTACTTCTAGGAGAAAGAAAGCAAGATCATACCGGGGGGTTTGTAGTAATTGGATAGATATGTCCAGCCCCTCCTGATGCAAGTTATCTTTGAGATGAATCT